GTATTTGGGGGTTCACAGGGTAGATGACAAATAGTGGAATTGCTGGGCCAATGGAAGCTCAAAATTTTTGAGGTCTCCTTATTTTCCATAGTAATTGGACCACACAACATACCTGCTAACAGCAGATGAGGACTCCTTTTCCCCAACATCCTTACCAGCACCGGATGTTTCTACTCTTTTTGATATGTGCCAATCTTAAAGGTATGAGGTGATATCTCCTTGTTGTTTGGATTTGATTTTATTTTCCTGATGAGATGAAAAGCACTTTTAAAAATACATACATTGACCAATATCATGCAGAATCCTATTTTCCTGGGTAGATTTTATGGGTTTAATATTTAGGTCTTCTTTGGTGGTGGGAAGAGTTAGGACCACAACTGGCTCTGCACAGGGCTTACCTCTGGCTCTGCATTCAGGAATCAAGCCCTGAGGCAAGGCCTGGGGGGGGGGGGGGGGGCTATATGGAGTGGCAGGGTTAGAATCTGGGCCAGCTGTGTGCAAGGTAGGAGCCCTACCTGCTGTACCATCTCTCTGGTTCCCTAAAGTAAGCCTTATAATTTGATGAAAATTCATACCACAAATCTAAGAGTACAAAGGATTTTATTTTAATGGCAAGAACTGAAGCAAGGGCCCTCATATGTTCAAATACTCTACCACTGAGCTACCTTCCAAATTCCAGGGATGTATCTACTGTTTTATATTATAGTTAAAATAAAGAATCCTTTAACCTAGGTTCTATTCCTGGAATCCCATATGGTTCTGGAGCCTGCAAGGAGTAACTCTTGAGTGCAGAGCCAGGAGTAATCCCTGAGCCTGGCCTGGAGTGGCCCCAAAACCAGGGGGAAAAGCAAGAATTAAAAAAAAAAAATTTCCATTCAGAAAAACTTTTGCATGTTTTTCTGGTTGATAGATGGAATGGTGCGAATTCAAGAATCCTTTAATAAAATCATGTATCTGGGTAATTTTTTTCATATTGCGAATGGAACCTAGTTTATATAAAAGCAAAACAGTACATACAGAGTTAGTGCTCTATTAAATTTTCCACACCAGCTACAGAAATACAGCATGATATCCAGATAATGGGGAACTCAATAGGTACAATGGTGAGAGCTGTTACTAACTCTGCTAGAAAGGACAAAAGACCTGTGAGGAATGAAAAAGGTACTGCCAGAATTAGAAGATTTTAAACAGCTGTTTAAAAGGTCTGGGTAAACAGATTAATATTACACAGCTGAGGGCTATCCACCCCCCTTTCAACCAAATTCTATTTAGTCTCAAGAATAGGATGAACTACTCAGTATGTTAAATAGATAAAACAAAGAGTGAAAGAATACAATAAAAGGTAAAGGTAAAGGTAAAGGCCCTCCTGTTGATCGTCAATTTGCTCGAGCGGGCCCAGTAACGTCTCCATTGGAGACTTTGTTGTTACTGTGTCTGGCATATCGAATACTCTCGGTAGCTTGCCGGGCTCTCCGAGAGGGGCGGAGGAATCGAACTCGGGTCGGCCATGTTGGCTGCGTGCAAGGCGAACGCCCTACCCGCTGTGCTATCGCTAAAGAAAAAAGGTAGCCAGCGAGCTGTTCTTTTAAAATGTGGGAATAACATTTAGGAAGTATTTTATTAACTAGACCTATAATATAGTAAGTAGGTTTTGAGAACCCCAATCATGTTTTTTTTATCAAGTATTCAATACATAAACCTATTTTTTGTTTGTTTTGGTGTCTGGGCCACACCCAGGTGCACTCAGTTTACTACTTGCTTGAGATTCAGGGATCAATTTTGGGTCACCTAGGGTGGAGTGCTAGGATTAATCTGGGTCTACTGAGTGCAAAGCCAAGTGCTGAATTTTATCTCTCCAACTCACATAAACTTGTTTTAATAATAATAAACCTGGTTGCCAGGACCACTAATCTAGGACGTGTTCTCTCCAGCAGGCATATTACAGATTTGGATGCGTAGGAAGACGAAAAAGAACTTCAGCACTAGGGTCAAAGAGGCACAGAAGAGCAAAACTGCCAACAAAAATGCAGAGAAATGTAAAAAACAAAATGAAACCCACAGGTTTACAGTATGAGAGCTTGAACAGAAAGACTTTATCACTTTAACCTCATCTGTGAATGTGTGCTTAATTTTTCACCAATCTAAGCTAGTCCATGAATGCTGTGCATACTGTTTTTCTGGGGGTTACAACTAAATTTTAGTTCATAGGTAAATTCCAGACATGTCATCTGTGAAATGATGAAGACTGATATACAATGCACGGAATCATTATCTCATTAAGTCAGCCCAGTTTACTGCTTTTGATTAAACTACATGCATAAAATCTGGCAGACATCATTCAAACAAGATATAAGGAACACAGTAGTTTTTGAACAATCATGCATTACATTTGGGGCAGAAGTGGTCTCTCAAGAAATGTTTGGGGACTGGAGGACACACCTGGGGAAATGCGGCAGAAGGGTCAGTGTTAAGACCCCAGGACATGGTGTGCTAGGTCCTGCAGTGCCAGTAGTATCCGCGGCCACTCCCCGGCTCTAGGGGACCAGGGATGCTAGGGAGCCTCTTAGGTGACACCACTATATCCTTGGAAAGCTCTGTGGTGCCAGGGATCAAACTGGGCCCAAATCCCTATAACTGTCTCCCTAGCAGGCATGTATTGCATAGAATGCTTTTTTTTATTCTTCTAATTTCAAATCTCCATCTTATTACAGAAATTATGAATCGCGCATAAAACTCTCTGGCAGTTTTTGCTTAGCTACTGACAACTTCGCTTGGTTTTACTGATTCTCAAAGCAGAACAAACAAGTGTCTCTTCGTTGTTGATTTTGGGTCACACCCACGGGTACCCGGCACTCCCGCATGCACCCCCACCCATAAAGCAATCATCTAAACATATGGTGAATGGATGTGACAAACACGGTTATGTAATTACTATTATTTTCAGTCAGTTATGGGTTTCAGGCCTTTACCCCATACATCATTTCATCTTTAGGCCCAAAGACTTGGACTTGTTGGATATAAAAAAGAGACTTTTGGGTATCTGGGGGGCGAGATGTTGCTTCTTCAGGTCCATTTTCCATCCCATCCCCCACACGGCCCCCGATGTTGAGCTATTAAGCTATTTACTGCATGTTTACCCCTTTCCATTCAAGTTGCAGTGCAAGAAGTGTAGAACGGAAGGAAGAAATCATCTCAGGATTGCTGCCATCCAGCCAAGCTGTTTTGGGGAACACTGGACCGTCCCCCCGCCAGTATGCCAAGGATGCGCTGGGGCCCCGGTGGGGCCCGCAGCGCTCCGGAAAGCCAACACAAGGAGGCACACCCTTTTACTCACATGCCCACATGCTGTATCTCCGACTGAATTTTCGATCACCAAAGGGGTTCAAGACAAAGAGGAATCGGAGTGGGGATTAAAAAACAAACAATAAACAAACAAGGATATAAAAACGGGAACTGGGCCCAGCCGCGGGGCGGAGACGGGCCGCGGGCCGCACGGCACATGCCCGACACGTGCCCCGCGTTCGATTCCGGGGCACGGCCACCGCACGCAGCCCGGCGGCGGCGGGGTCCTCCCGGCCACTCCCCCCGAGCCAGCAGCGCAGCCGGTGGATCCCGGGCTGGGGGGCGGCCGGGTGTCACAGGCGGATCGGCGGTCCGACCCAGGAGAACCCACCTCCCCGAACTCCAGCCTCACCGCGCAGGCCCCGCCCCGCGGCGCCCTCTGCATCAGGGGGACCTGCATCGGTAAGGGGAGCTCCCGGGCCGGGGACCTTGGCACTCTGCGCCCCACGCCTCTGGAGTCCTTCCCCGCCGCCTCTCCTCGCTCGCAAAACTCGCTTTCCTGGGTGCTGCTGGGCGGGGGGTGGGTGAGGACTTACTTCTAAGGCGTCGCCCGACGGGGCTCCTGGCAGCCCGGTCGGGTTGGGGGCGGGGGTCGGTGCCCAGGCCCGGGCGCCTACTGCCCCGAGAGCGGGCCTTTGGGGGCGCAGAGTGCGCGCTCCCTACATCCCCGAGAGGCCGTCGCCCGCGCGCGGCAGGCGCCGGGCGGAGGGGGCGGCCGAAGGGGCTGTTCGGGGCGGCGTCCGCCGACCGCCGAACGAGGGGGTTTCGCGACCACCCGGGCCGGGCCCGCGGGGGCGGCGGCCGGCGAGCTCGCCCGCAGGGCCCCCTCCCGCCCCCGCGCCTCGGCGCACGCGCAGCCGCCGCCCTGCTCTCGTTCGAGATGGCTCCCGTCGCGGCCCGGCGTCGTCGTCCCGCGGGCGGCCGCCTGCCCGCGCTCCCCGGGGCTCCGGGGCCCAGGCTGGAGCGGGCGGCGGAACGCGAGTATCCCTGAGGCGGCGCGGCGGCGGCGGCGGCGGCGGCGGCGGCGGCCGGACGCCCGCACAGGAGCGCGCGCGCGCGAGGCCCAGAGCGGCAGCGGCGGCGGCGGCGGCGGCGGCCGGAAAGAGCCGCCCGGGCCGCGAGGAGGCGAGCCAGGCCGCGGGAGGAAGCGGCCGGTCGGGCTGAGCCGAGGTTTGCCGAAGGCGGCGTTCCGGAGCCGCGCGGGGCGGGGAGGAAGGCCGAGGGTGGGCGAGGAGGGGAGTGGCGGAAACTGCCGAGCGCTGCCGAAGGCCGCCGCGGCCGAGTTGCCCGGATGTAGTTGGTGGAGCGGCAGCGGCGGCACCAGCGGCGGCGGCGGCGGCGGCAGGAGGCGGCGAAGGACCCGGCGCGGCGGCGGCGGCGGCGGCGGGGGGGGGAGGAGGAGGAGGAGGAGGAGGGGAAGCGGCGGCGGAACGGGAGGCCGAGAAGGTGGAGGAGGCAGTCGCTCTCGGCGGGGGGCTGAGTCGGACGCGTCTTCTTGGCTTCCCTCCCCTCTCCCTGCCCTCCCCCCCCCCGCCCGCCCGGCTGGCCGCTGCCGCCTCGTAGTTGGCGCCGCTGCCGGGGCTCGAGAGGGAGCGTGGTGTGGGCGCGGAGGAGGGAGATGGCCCGAGAGCGCCGGCGCTACTAACGGGGGACGTGTGAGTCGCCGCCGAGGGCGCGCCGGGCCCCGGTGCCGGGGCTGCTGCTGCCGCCGCCCGCCCGCCCGTCCGCCTGCCCGTCCGCCTCTCGCGGCCGCGCTCCCCCCTCCCCCGACACACGCTCACAGGCCGGGCATTGATGGTAATGTATGCGAGGAAACAGCAGAGACTCAGTGATGGGTAAATTGGCTTTTCGTTCGGGGCCCGGGGGCGGGGGGCGGCGGCGGCGGCGGGGGGGCTGTTCCTCCTTATCTGGGGCTGGCCGCGCCGCCATTTTTGTTGTTAACCCTGATCCCGATCGGGCCGGGGAAGGAGGAGCAGCCGCGCGGGCGGGCGGGCGGGCGGGCGGCGTTTCCCCCGCGCCTGCAGCCGCGCGGGTCGGCCGGGGGTGGGTGCGGGTGCGTGTGCGGGTGCGTGCGTGTGTGTGTGTGTCCGGGGCCGGTACGTTTGCGGGGTCTCCCGCGAGGAGGGGCGCTGGAAGGCGCGCGGGGGGGGGGGGAGGGACCCGTTTCTTCCTTCCCCCCTCCACCCCGCCGATGTCTCATGTCGCTGCCTCTCTTCCTGTTTTTCAGCTGTCACGACCGGAGGGGGGACTCGCAGCCTTACCAGGTACCAGGCGAGGCCGGGCGGAGGGCTGGCTGCGGGGGGACGGAGGGGGAAGGGAGGAACTAGCTACTCGAGCGCAGGCTTCAGAAGTCGCTGCAGGCCCTGCGGTGCAACAAATCCGAAACTAGCCCCGCGGGGACCCCAAAACGGCCGCCTCGGCCCCCCCGGGGCGCTCCCCAACGTGGGGAAGTGAGTTTATCCCGACAGGTGACACGAGGAGTTGTTTTTGTTAGTGATATATATATATATATACACTTCTATATATTTATTTTTTTATTCTCCCCCCCAGCTCCCCGAGCAAAAAAAAAAAAACAGCCAGACTGGGGTTTTTTTTGGGGGGGGGGCTCGGTAATTATCGAGCGATAAGGAATCAATGCTAGGTCATTTTGGACCCTCCGTTTATTGGGGGAACTCAAGTTAAAATTAGGTGCAGGACAGGGGAAGAAACAATTGATCTGCGACTCCTAAAGTGTGTTGTAAATCTCTCAGCCTTCCCTTTTGAAATTTTTGGTGGTGGTTTCTTTATTTCGCTACAAATAATTGCACTGGGGATGAAAGAGAATGCTTTGGTTTCTACAAGAATTGGGATCGCTAAATACTTGCGGACCTAATTTTAATACATGTGGTTCTAGGTACTGCGAGTTCCTGTTAGTGCAGTTACTGTATGTTAAAATAAAAAAAAATTATGATACAAGTGGTTCCTGTTTTCGGGGGGGAAAATCTTAAAAGTATTTGGTAAATATTAGATCACACAGAAGTAAATAGTTACTGTATCAAAATAGGTCAGCAAATTTCTGAGCTGATAGTTCTATTAGGAGCCAGTGTGAGTTGTTAAAGCATCTCCTCTCCTGATCATGTAATATTATTACATTTAGATGTGTCAAAGATTAAACTTAAATCTTCCCTCTGCTAAAACCTAATTTTACACGGTATCGTGAGGGTCCTACCTGCTTGTTAGAATAAGCAATAAGTACCATTAAATTTTACTATACTCCATATCCGATATTTATATACCTGAAAATTGTCTGGCACACCTGTAAGAGTGGTAACTTGGATCAGGAATGCTTCATTTCGTCAAAGAATCTGAGAAGTGAATGCTTATTAGTAACGATTTGCAAAGCATGCTTTGCTTTTTTTTTTTTTTTTTGGCTTGTCAGTATAATAGTTGTAGAACAAAAAGAAATTACAGTAATTCTGGAATCTTAATGCTCAGAAAAAAATTAAGTATATCAAAGTATTTCATTTTTGGTGGCAGGAGAGGGTTATATCTAAGATACCTAAAGGGAGTGGGTTTTTTTCTTTTAATTTTTTAAGAAATCGTATGCTGTTAATTTGTATGAAGAATCTTATGACTCTTAATGTTTTAAGGCATTGTTTGAATAACTGGGAAGAATTGGAAATGGAAATTTTAGTTTTATTTGTAGATATACGTAAAGTCAATGAGGTTATTACACCAAAATGTGTGATAAAATTAATTTAATGTTGCTTCAATTTTTTCTCTTTTGGGGGGCTGATGTTTTGCAGGCACTTAAGTATTCATCAAAGAGTCACCCCACTAGTGGTGATCACAGACATGAAAAAATGCGAGACGCCGCAGATCCTTCACCGCCAAATAAAATGTTGCGGAGATCTGATAGTCCTGAAAACAAATACAGTGACAGCACAGGTCACAGTAAGGCCAAAAATGTGCATATTCACAGAGTTAGAGAGAGGGATGGTGGTGAGTATCTCTCTTCTCTTACCACCTGTGTTTATTTTTAATAAAAGTTGTATACATAGCAGTAAGTGGCAGTTAACATACTTTGTGGGCTTTATCACATGGTTATGTCATCAAAATATTTGTCAGTTTATTGATTCCTGAACAAGCTACTATAGGAATGATATGCTAACCTGAGCGTCTCTGAAAATGAACCTCAGGGCTGATCATAAAAGAAGGGATTTCTTGTTTATTTGGCGGGGAAACACTGGGTGGTGCTCAGGGTTCCTGACTGCTCAGGGATCACTACTGGTGGGGCTCTAGGGACCATATTAGGTACCAAACCCAGTTGGACTCCTGCAGAGCAAATATCCTACTCAATGTACTATAGCTCTGACCCCAGGAATACATTTCTGAATGTAGTTTTCAGTATTCTCTTAATGAGGAGAGCCATGCAGAGCATTTTTCTAAGAAAGGAACTTTATTTTTTTTAAGTTTTCTTTCATTGGGCTTAGTTTATTTTTAGATTCTTGCATGTATTTTTTAAGTACAAGTACACAAAATATTTTCTAATGATGAACTAGAATTTGTGAAAACTAGGCTTTTTTGATATAACTAAAACCATTTATGATGCAGAAATTTCTTCTGGGCTTTTGTTGTCAGCATTTAAAACTTTCAGATTCTCTAGGATCTTATTGATTTAACTTCTGTACTGTGTTCAGATGTTCATCCCGTTAAAAGTTAGACTCATTTGTACAGTGCAGTTACCTTTTCGGTTTTTTGGTGGTAGGAGACTGAGAAAGTAAATTCAGTAGCTTTTCATACTTTTTGCACAAAATTAGCCAAAGCAGTCATTTTATATCTAAAGCATGCGTGCTGTTATTTCTAAAAGCATACTTTTATGTCTAAAGCACACAGTTTTATTAAGGTAATTAAAATGTTTTGATTTTCTATAATATCTTATTTTGCTCATTGGTTTGAAATATGCACTATTGATTTGTGCTTTTATATAAACTGAGAAAGTCATGCTTGTGTTTTTCTTCTACTTAATTGTCCACTTCTCATTTTTTTGCTTTTAAAAGATCCCTTTCATCTTTTGTCGTTTTGCCTCCTAGTACAGAAATCAGCTTTACTTGCTGTGATCAGATATTAAGAAACATTGGCCTCCTCGGCGTAATTGCTGGACTGATGAAATTTATAATGTTCAAAATTGCATTGAGTTGAATGATTTCCATGACTAATGGATGGGAGGAATGTATAGTTCTAATGAGTATAGGTATAACTTAGTGCTTCTTGTGCAGATAAAGACTAGAAATGACTGGTGGGTTTGGTTATATTTATTAGTGGTAGGGGTTTTCTGGTAGTAGAATTAAATTTACTAATTTTAATTCTGTCCGTAAATTTTCCATAGTTTTATAGCCAATATATAGTCTGAGGTGGTAATTATGCATTGTTCTGTAGTGGAGTTCAACTATATTGTTAGCTCTTGGAAGGCAGGTTCTATTTGTACTGTGCTTTATTGATAATTATGATGAAGTAGAATGTGGTATCATCTCTTCATGGACAATGCTTGAAGGTCGTTGGTTTTTTTTTTTCCTTCCCTTTTTGGGTCACACCTGGTGATGCACAGGGGTCACTCCTGGCTCTGCTGCACTCAGGAATTACCCCTTGCGGTGCTCAGGGGACCATATGGGATTCTGCGAATCGAACCCGGATCGGCTGCGTCCAAGACAAACGCCCTACCTGCTGTGCTATTGCTCCAGCCCCGGTTTCTTCAAATCTATATCTATATATACATACATACACACATACATACACACATATATAATTTATCTGCTTTTTGGTTTGGGAGCAACACCACACAGTACTCAGGACTTAGTTTTGGCTCTATGCTTAGGGATCACTCACTTGTGGCAGGGCTCAGGAACCATATAGGATTCTGGGGACCAAACCTGGTCTTTGGCTTCATTAAACTGCATTCCGTAAAGTTTGGCACAAATAGTCTGTATCTTTCATCTGAAAGTGACCTCTTACCTGGCTTATTGTCTGCCTGTCACTTCTGGTGACCCATCACTCTTGCACCATTACTCTTACAGTGTATAGTTTTTCTGTATCATTTCGTTTACTTTTTATTAGTATCTGCTGGTACTTCCACTTGTGAGAAGCTTAGAATTCTTAGGCCCCACTTAAGATTGCTTTTTAGTTGCCAGCTTGTCTTCCTCTGGAGCCTTTTAATTTATAATTCTTTTTCCATCTCATCTCTATTATATCTACCTATATTTTTTTATGTAGGAATTGAAATAAATACCATAAAAGATCACCATTCTGAGTTTATAGTGCATTTTGGATGCTAATCCTATCCTTTTGGTGATGTGATTCCCCTTGATGCTTAGTTGATTGTGGTGTTTTTTTTTTTGTAATTGTGTTGGCTACAAAGCTATTCTGATGATTTCAGTAAATATCTAATAACTTAATTATGTTCTATAATTTGTGACTTGCAATTTTACAAGCAAGTTAATCAGAGGTTGACTTTATAGTATATGTTGTTTTTCTCACTGTCACCTGTACATTATCATACTTTTAAAAAAGGATTACTTGATTCTTTCATGTTACTTTGGCTTTCCTTGCAAAGTTCCAGTTCAGAAAGGTTTAAAAGGGCCCCTGCTATGTTATTAAAAGTAGAAATGGATTCAGAAGAATTGTCAGTCTTTAATTAAAATAAAAATTCTCGTATGGTAGTATAGTTGAGTTATCAGACATTACCCTTTAGAATTTATTGTGGGGAATATAGATAATGTATTGTCTATTGAATCATGAAACATTTGTGAGATTATAGTTTAAGAAATTTTTAGTCAGCTATCTGCAAACTATGTAATCCTTTGTTAAAAATAAGCGGTAGTGTTTGGAGTGCATGTGTGAAGGAATGCAGGTTCTCAGTAGTTCTCAAGGTTCCCTGAAGCCTCACTGAGCTGCTTGGAGTCCTGCAGTGCTGGGGATCTGATTTAGGGTCATGTATGTGCAAAAGCTGGAGTCTTAGAAGTCCCCTCTTTTATTATTTTTTTTAATAGGAGTAGAGCACCACTGCTAGTGCTCACTGTGGTGCTGGGACTCGTATATGCAGAGAATGAGCTCCAATAATTTGTTTCCATGTCTCTTTTGAACCTTGGTCTCATGCACATAGGGCATGTGCTTTGCTGCTGAGCCACATCCTCTCCCAGCTCTTTTAAAACTATTTCCCTGACTCAGTCTCAAAGTGTGTGTGTGTGTGTGCGCGCACACACTTTTATTTTTACATATACTTTTTATTATTATTATTATACTTACTCCTGGCCCTGTGCTTAGTCAGGGATCCCTCCTTGCAGTGTTCAGGGAACAGTATGGGGTGCCACAGATCAAAATATGCAAACAAAGAGCCCTGACCACTATTCTGTATCTCAGGCCCCTCAGTATATTTTTAAGGTGTATTTTTTGGGTGCTATGACATAGGTTTGTTTCGTTTGAGGGCCACATTCGGTGGTACTCAGGGATTACTCTTGGTGAGCTCAAGGAAGCATATGGGTGCTGGGGATTGAATCTGGGTAGGTCACATGCAAGACAAATGCCCTACCCACTATAGAAAAACTCTGGTCCCTGATAATGACATGTTTTTAAAGATACAGGTGACATCCAGAGCCCAGAATATGAATATAGAATGCAGGTTAGGTTTGTCCTTATGTGGAATTTTTAAGTTCTTTCCATCTAACTAAAATAAATATTTTTACGGACTAGTTTTAAATGATAATTAAAAATGTTACTAGTATAAGTTGACGCTCAAACACTTGAGTGTTTGAATTGTCCATGTCCACTTACACTCAGATTTTCTTGTAAACAAATATATCAATAAAAACAGTAAAGTACTACAGATGAATTTTTGTAATATTTCTCTGTAGCTATTGTAGGAACAATATTTATATAAATACAGCATACAAAATACATGGGCGGGGACCATGCCCAGGGTGTGCAGGGCTACTCCTGGCTCTGCTCACGGCAGAGTCCTCCGGGGGACCCAGGGAACATCAGGGGTGATGGGAATCAAACCCTGTGCAAGTGCTGTTCCTGATGTACTCTTTCTGGTTCCGCATGATTCACATTAATGGAAGCTATTGCTGCTTATATTTTCAGTCAACTGCAGGCAGTCATTTTGGGGATAATAATTGTGGATTGACTGAAAAGGGGTGAGCATTCCTAGCCCACGTATTATTCAGGTATCATTTATATAATCAACTAGGGATGATGGTTATTTTGATAGGAAGTCTGTAAAACTTCTTTACAGCTTTATTCTCTTGAGATTTATATCATCTTTATCAGAATTAGCTCTAACAAACTTAATTATAGGGTATGTTTGGGATACATCTTTGGGATGGTTTGGATACATGTTTGGGAACTGGAGAGAGAGTAGAGTGAGTAAGGTGCTTGTCTTAAATGGTGGCTTTGGTCCCCCACGCTGCATACAGTTTCCCTAGTAACACCAGGAGTAAGTCCAGAGCACTGCTGATTGCCATCTATAATACAGAAAAGAAACATCAATAAGTATAATTGGTTAATTGAAAAATATTGGATTCCAGGTTTGTGAGACTTCAGTGAATTTGCATATATCTTTTAGATAATGTCCAAATATTTTGAATCCCAAGTCCCCTTCTCTCCCCCAATGCCCTTCAGTGGATTGGTAAATACTGTTTTTAAAGATTTAGAACTTTTTTGGCTTTTCATTAAATTTTTTTGTCTTATCTCTTACCCATATCTGGAAAAATTTGGAAACATTGTCATTTCATTGTTAAATAGGTTATTGTACTTAAGAATTATTTGAACAGATACTGGAACAGCTGAATGTGGATAAGTCTTCTCTGAAAAATTGTTACCCTGTCAGAGATGAAAGAGTTAGGCCTATTGAAAGTTTATTTTGTGGATGTTCATAGTTGGTAACAGTAGCCTCAACCTTTTTCCTGCTGTGCTCTTCCAGACCCTTCTAACCTTGTTTCCTTCCT